TTGTGAATCAAGAGAAGGCTGAATAGCAACTTTGTGGATTATCCATCAGCAAAAATGTCTCCTCACAAACTGGCTTCCTATCATGCTTCTCCCCCATAATTCTTTGTACTTCTAGGTAAATCAAAGTTTCTTTTCTGCTGTTGTTTTTATCAGCTAAGGTAGATATAATTAGGAACATAAACAGTGCTTCTAAAAATAATGTATTCCCAAACAACTAGTGACCTTAGGATTGCTTGGCAGTTTGAATTATCCACTTTTTTAGAAGTGACCACTGTCATTGACAAACTATTTATTGAGCCCTTTTTTCTAGTACTGGAGCTCTAGAAGTGTAGAAAGACAATAGCTGACTGCCTTTGATCCCTCCACCAGTTTGAGTGGAGGGAAAAAGTCCCCAAAGGTTGGATGTAAATCTGCTTATTTCCCACTCCAATTGCTTGCTAGAGGTGTCATCCTGCCTCTGCTCTAATTTGTGCTACAGAGCAGTACAGCATCCTGTTCTGAGCAGTGACACATTTGCTAGTAAATGAAGTGGTATGGCAGGAGGGGAACACAAAAGAGAGGAAGCATTTATTTTCTTGCTTTTTTGGACTGTCTGAAAGTGAACTTTCAACTATTTCCAGGGAGAGGGGGAGGGAGGGTCTCTTTTTTTTCTGAAATCTTTTGTGATATGGATGTTTCCCAGCATGTCTTGAGCTCCCCCCTTTCTTTCTTTGCCCTTTGTCCTTTGCATTTGAATTTTCCAGCAAGCCTTGCCACTCTGTTTTTAACCCCATGTGTGTGGTTCCCATTAGACCAAAGTGTCTCAAAGGGCAAGACTTACTGGCTTCTTCCTTTGGGTCTCCCCACAAATCTCTGCACACAGAAGTTATCAAAACCTGATGTAGACTGACAGACCTTGACCTGTCCTTGTTTGGTTATTTTCTAACACAGGCCTACCTGTTGCCCAGGAACACAGAGTTAGCTTCCTAACCTTATATGCTGATTGTGTGCTGAGTCTGATAGGAAAGTAGGATGAGCAGCACCCAAGGTCTGCTTTCCAGAACTTACCATCTAAAGACTGGGTTAACACACCCATAAGAAGGTTAACAGAACTGCTTATGGTAGTGAAGGGACTGGAGACATTTTAGTTGGTTTGATAGGAAAGGCCCTTTAGGGGTCTGGAGTATGAAGCACTGGTGAGGAGCATCCCAGGCAGGGACTGTGACTCTTCTACCCAAGGGAACATTTGTTGTATCCTTTCTTATCCTTGGCCCCGTTCCTCTCTTTGAAGAAGGAATTCTTGCCTATCCCCATCCCATCCCCATCCCCATTTGGGGAATGAGATAAAAATAGTGCCACAGATTGGAGGCATTTAGAACATGTAGCTCCTAGTCTCATAAGTCTCAGCTCCCAGTCTCTGCTGAGAAAAGAACCCTATCCACTTGGAAGTCAGGCTGAAAGCAAGAGCTGTGGCCCAAACAAGTCAGAACTTCCTCTTAAGCTATAGACAGGTCTCAGGGTTGCCTTTGGTTAGAGGTGTCCCTTCTAGGTTTTCTCCAAGGAATAATTCCTATCTTGTCTGTAAGGAATGTCTAGGGAATGGACTTTGAGTCATCTCTGATTTCCACCGCCCTGCCTTAAATCCTCATTTCACAGACAAGTGACTCTTGGTTGCAGAAGACTTGGAACCCAACTTGTTCAATAACTACTAATGTGGGTCCTTGGGATTTTGCAGGTTGGATAATATCTTCTTTTTCTGAAGATAGTGGAATTTAGTCCTTCAAGGCCACTCACTGACTTCTATAAGGGGGTAGTAGTTAATATGCACTTTTTACCATACTGTATATTCACATGCCTGAGGGAGGGGAAGCTAAGAGGTTAGAGGTATCCTTCTGACTTCAGTCTCCAGCTTCAGGTATATACTGGCAAACTGAAAGGCCACCTCCCACCCCCTCTACCCCTGCTCCACCTGCTGGTGTCATGGAAACCATGTTCAGGTACTCTTAGTACTAGAAAAATAATTTCTCAGCTCTCTGAGGTGCTGTTGTGGAGGGCTTGCTCAGAACAGAGCCATTCTACTAGCTGTTGTTGGCAACTGCATGTATGATTCCATCTTTTTTTAAAAAATATATTAAAAAAATTTTTTTAATCCTCACCTGAGGATATTTTTTCCATTGCTTTTCAGAGAGAGTGGAAGGAGGGAGAGAGAGAGAAACATCGATGTGAGAGAGACATGTCGGTTGGTTGCCTCCTGCATGTACCCTGACCTGGGCCAAGCCTGCAACCAAGGTACGTGCCCTTGGTCAGAATCGAACCCGGGACTCTTCAGTCTGCAGGCCAATGCTCTAACCATTGAGCAAACCTGGCTAGGGCTAATATATTTTTTTATTGATTTCAGAGAGAAGAAAGGAGAAGGAGAGAGAAATAGAAACATCAATGATGAGAGAGAGTCACTGATCAGCTGCCTCCTGCATGTCCACTGTCGGGAATCGAGCCCACAGCCCAGGCTTGTGCCCTGACCAGGAATCGAACCACGATCTCCTGGATTATAGGTCAATGCTCAACTGCTGAGCCATGCCAGCCGGGCCAATTCCATCTTTAAGGCCTCTGGAGACTGGGGGGGAAGGGGGTACTACTACTTGATTATAGAGATTTGGCCTCCTGTAGCCCTCTTTGAGGCAATGTGGTCCGTCACCCTGAATGATTTGTAATGAGCTCTCCCATCCCTGTTTGGAAAAGTAATTTCTGTAGTTTGGGAAGAATAGCATCTTTTATACTTGTGTTGCCTGGAAGGACTGGCCCTCACATTTCTTTACTCATTGCTTTAATCTACACATCCAAATTCTGGACTCTCCCACTTTGTACATCCTTAGCTGAGCCTCCCTGTTCCAAGAGGCCACTTTTCTTCTTGACTGGACAGTTACCCATAGAATTGCCTCAGGCCTCTAAGTGGAGCTTAGAATATTGAGGAGAAACCTGGTTCAGTCCAAGGTCTCTGTTATATCACAGCCGTAGGCCTATGTATCTGGCTTTGCCTTAGGATCTTGGTGCAAGGTCCATCAGTCAGGCTTCCTCCCCTCTCCCCTGTGCTTTTTTCTTCTCTCCTAGAAGGCAAAAGTTTGCAGAAGGTAAGTAGGAGAGGAAGCTTTTCAGTCTGACCAGGGACTTAACCCATGTCCTGAAGCAGCAGGGTTCAGTTTTCAGGAATCTTTAAGGATGAGCCTTTAGCCATAGTGATGGGGTGTGGGGGTCAGGCCGGTCCTTGTAGATTTAGTTGTACAGTTGCTGAGCTTCTTCACAAAGGGAGTAGATTCTGATTCAACTGAGGTTATATGCTAGGTGCTTTCACATTATGTTACCTCGTTTAATCCTCAGCAACTTCACAATATAGGCTTTGTCTCTATTTTTAGATGACAAAACCAGGGTTTGGAGAGGCTAAGGAATTCACCCCAAATTAGCCCGGGGCTAGCAAGGGTGGAGGTTTCTTCTTGTCAATTTACTTGTTAGCTTGCTGCTGCTACTTGACTTGCATCTCTGTTGTTTCAGTGGACTTCTTCCTTTGAGGGAAAAGCAATATCTAGAATTCTAGGATGCTGTGCTGCTACCTGTTCCCCATCTCCCTCCGCTCTGATACTGCTTGTTAACCTAGGCTGGGTAAACAGGTCTCCCCAGAGCTGCCAGCAAAAATAGTCTGGACCTAGCCACTGGAGGCACTGATGCTGCTGTCATTGGTAACTACATTGAGTGGAGAGGGATAAGAGTTAAGAGAAAATGCAACCTGAAGTTTTTGCTTCCCTCCCCTTGTCATATAGGAGCTAGGCTAGGTAATGATGAATCTCAGCTTGTGGATGAGGTGGGTTGTGAGAGTCACAGCTCAGCTTTCATGTGATCTCACAGCTCCCTGTCACAAGTACACAGGTGCTGTTGATTAAGGCCGAGATCAGTGATCTGACCTAATTTGAGCGATAGACCTGTGAAGTTGTACATTCAAACCTGAGAGGCTTTGGGACTATTTTAGGTTGAAGTTTTGTGGCTATGGGAGCTCCTTGCCTTAACACTCAGTTCTACCCTGTGCCACCCTACACTCTTAGGTAGTCAAAGGAGAAACATGATTGTCTTTAATTCCTATGCCTCTTTCCCATTGCCCTTATTTATTGGTTCCTAACAATGCTGCTGTACAGCCAGTTCTCAACAAGATGTTTTGTGATGACCTCTAGGGTCGAGGGAAGTAAATTGCCTGCCTTTGTTCCTGTTTTCCCAGCATCAGAATCACTGGGAATTGGGAAGTGATTTTCGTTAAAAGTTTTTGGGTTAATCCTCAAAATAAAAGACTCAGAGTAGTTTAGGTGGTGATGTGAAAGAGACCCACTGACTTAACATGGATATATTTTGTCAATATTTTCTCAATATTTAGTATTAAATGCTTCTTTCAAACAGTGACCACTGACTAAGATCTCCTTAGAATGTTGAGCACATTCCATGTTCTAGAGTTGACCTTTGAAACCAGAGTGGCTCCTGAGTGGGCTTTAATGCAGCCATCCCCACCTTTGTTTGACTAGAGAGGCTGGAAGGTTTTAGTTTGGCTTTTTGTTCTTCGTTAGTCCTTCCTCACTCATATTTTAAGTTTGTTTTTAACTTTTTGGGGAGGACATGTCAAACATAAAAAAGTAGGGAGAAAAGTGTAGCCATCACTCTGCTTCAGTACTTATTAGCACATGGCAGTCTTGTTTTATTTCCCCGCCTGTCTGGATTATTTTGAAGCAAATCCAAGATATTTCATCTGTAGTTACTTCATACATATGCCTATGAGAAAAGGGTTTAAAAAAAATGTAGCCAGCCCGGCTGGGCGTGGCTCAGAGGTTGAACATCAACTTAGGATCCAGGAGATCGAGGTTCGATTTCCTTTCAAAGCACATGCCCAGGTTGTGGGCTCCATCCCCAGTTGGGGGCATGCAGGAGGCAGCCGATCAATGATGGATTCTCATCACTGATGTTTCTGTCCCTCTCTCTCCTCCCTTCCTCTCTCTGAAATAAAAAAAGATTTAAAAAAAAATTAGCCACAGTAACACACCTATAAGTATTAACAATAATTCCTTAATATGATAAAATATTCAGTGCTCAAATTTCTCTTGTTTCATAAATTCTTTTTATAATTGGTTTGTTCATATCAGTAATCAGACAAGGACCACACTTTGCATTTTCTTGCTGTGTCTTTTTAATTTTTTAATAGCTTTATTTTAAAATAATTTCAAGCTTAGAGAAAAGTTATAACACATAGAACTCATATATTGTTCACCTGGATTCACCAATAATTAACATTTGCCACATTTGCTTTGTCGTTATCTCTATATATATCATCTTAACCTTTTGAGACTAAATTGCAGCCATGATGCCACTTTAGATTTAAATACTTCAGTGTATATTTTCTAAGAACAAGGAGCTTCTGTTACATAACCACTGTTCTACTACCAAGATCAGAACATCTAATGCTGATATGTTACTCTTACCTAACTTATAGTACATGTTCCAATTTTGCCAGTTGTCCCAATAATATCCATTATAGCATTCTAGGGTCATACATTGTATTTTGGTGTGCTGTCACTTTCTTTAATTTGAAACAGATACTTTTTCTGTATCTTTCATGACCTTAAACACTGACAGGCCAGTTATTTTGTAGACTGTCTTTCAATTTGGATTGTATGAAGTTTCTTCATGATTAGACTGAGATTATTCATTTTTGGCATGAAAACCATAGAAGTGATGCTATAGGCTTTTCAGTACATCACATCAGAGGCATGTAGTATCAGGTATCAGTTTATAGTACATATTAACTTTGATAAGTTGGTTAAGGTGGTATCCTCCAGAATTTCCTACAGTTACTATTTTCTCTAATTAATAAATATTTTGAACCTATGTAAATATCTTCTTTCTTGTGAAAATTTTACCTCTGCTTTTAGCATCCATTGATGATACTTGCCTGGATTATTACTCCCGTCATTCCTTCTGCATTTATTAGTTGGCATTCCACTGTACAGAAGAGCTTTCTCTTCTCTATTATGTATGTATCAGCATGGACTCATGGATTCTTATTTTATTCAGTGGGTTATAATTTTAAGTCTCCTTTAGTATATGAATTTCCCTCTTCCTGCTTTTTTCCTTGCAATTTTTTTTAATGTTCTTTTTGTTTTCTTTTTTCCCCCTCACCTGAGGATATGTCTTTAATGACTTTTAGAGAGAGAGAAACATTGATTGATTGCCTCCTGTATGTGCCCCAACTAGGGATCGAACCCGCAACCTAGGTATGTGCCCCAACTGGGAATCAAACCTGCAGTGTTTTTTTGGTGTATAGGACGATGCTCCAACCAACTGAGCCACCCAGCCAGGGCTTTTTCCTTGCAATTTATGTTTTAAAGAAATAGGTCACATGTCTTGTTTTCCACATTCTGTATTTTATGCTGATTATACCCATAATGATGTTAGTTGTAAATTGGCAGTTAGCCCCAGAGACATGATGAGGTTGGAATTTCTAAAACTTATTGGGGGCCAGAAGTATTTGGTAGGTGTTGGTGTGAAACGCTCTTAATTTTTTCTCACTCATTCACAGAGGTTGGAAAGATGTATGAGCATTGTGACATCGATGACTACTGGTGTCTCAGAGAGAGAGGCAAATGATGCCCTTAATGCCTACGTGAGTATAATGCTTTCCCCATATTCATTTTTGCTTCTTTGAAAACTCTGAGACGTCATCAGAAAGATGGAAAGACTTAAGTGACTAGGAATTAAGGAACTGAAGTCAGTGTCTTGGCTCCCCGAACCAGGCTTCCAACTTCTCTTTCTCACTGTGGGAGTTCATCTCTTTGAGCCTTAGGCATCTTTAAATAACAATTTAAAATAATAACTCATAGTTCTATAGTGACTTTTTCTTTGTGAACCATTCTTACACATGTGATCTTTTACATATCCTAATCTGTGAGATTGAAAATATTTTAAGTAGTATGTATAAAAGGGCTTAAACTAACGGTATATAGTGAATGTTCTATAAGTATTACCTGCTTACTATTATTTTTTTATTATTATTAATTTCTTTTTAATCGTTACTATGTCTCCACTTTATAAATGTCAGAGGTTCAGTGACTTGCCCAAGGTCTTGGCTTGGTAGTTATGCTTGTTACTCCATGACTGACTTTGCAGCTCCTGCTCTGCTGAAGGCTTTTAAGTTCCGGTGAAGAAAGTGGAGGAGAATTTTTTTTCTTTTCCATTTTAAACACTTTATTTTCTGCCCTTAGTCTGCCCTTGGAGAAAGTAATAAAGACCCATCCTTTCCTCCACCTCTCCCCTAGAACAGAGGCCCCATCACTTTTAGGAGAAGGAAGTCATTAGATTTAAGAGTTGATTCTCCTTTGCAGGTTACTTAGGATTCCAAAGTTTTCTGGGAGAAACTGTGCTCAAGAACTTTTCTCCTGTGAGTGACAGCTAGTTTCTTTCCTTCTTTTTATCCTAGGTATGCAAAGGTCCCCCTCAGCATGAGGAAGTCTGTCTGGGTCTCTTCACCCTTGTCCTCACTGAACCTGCTCAAGCCCAGAAGGTAAGACACCCTGCTCTGGACCCACAAACCCTTCTCAGATACGATCTGGGAATATGGTGGAGTGTAATTGTGGTTTCATTGGCATAATACCAGGCTCTCTGACCAGAGCTGGACCACCTTGTTTTCTAAATATAGTTCTTTACTCTCAGTGAATTTGTCATTCTCTGACTAATGTCCTTTCTCTATCTCTAGATTCTGAAACTAAAAGGCGAGAAAAGGCAGCTAAGAGTGAAAAAGCATATAAAGAGTTTCAAATTTTAGGTTTACTAGTCAAGGCTAAAAGACATGGGATGTAACTTGGATAACAGAACAACTGTTACCAGAAGGGTGTAACCTGTAGTTTCCAGGTTCTGTCACTGGCCAGTGAATAGAAAGCAGGCTTAAGGCTGCAGCAAGTAGGATTTAAATTAGACAGCTTAATGTTAGATAATTGATACAGTAATAATGTAGTGAGTAAGAGAACACTGCAGTAACTGGGTTAGACTTCTGAGGAATACCATGTGAAAACTAGTCTGGGGTTCTTCACAGAGTTTTCTTTATGTGGAATGGTTTAAGTGGGGTCCTTCCCTGAGGTGAGGGACTGCGCGGGATGATCTCTTTGGATTCTCTTCTTTCTATAATAAAGTAGCAAAATTCTGTCTTTTGCCTCTTCACATTTCCCCTTTCCAGCAATTCTGTGTCCTTTGCGTCATGGCATGTTGGTTTAGAAGTATATGTCTGATATCTAGCATTAACTGTATGTCACTAACAGAGAAGAACTTGGGAGTGGGAGAGTTTAATATTTTCACTGGCCCTTCCCTGAGCAAGGGGAGCATGGAAAGAAACAAACACACTCTGTGCCCAGCATTGTGTTAGGCTACATCCACACAGGATTTCATTTAATCCTTTCAAAACACGTATGAGGTTGGTGGATTTGTCCTCTCTCCCCAGACTGCTCCCAGTTTACCTGTAAGAAAACTGGTGGTCAGAGACATTGTCGTTTGTTTAAGGAGGACCAAAGCAAAATCATTCCTAGGGACAAGGACAGGATGCCCAGGTCCCCTGGCATAGCCGCATGAATTAACCTCAGGGAAAGGATATATGGGCATGACAACCAGGTGTATTTGTACTCTTCTGATGCCAGCTGGATTAGGGTCTGGTGTGCGTGCTGGGAGGGTGGGGCAGTAAGTATTAACAAGTCTTTGGTTTCACAGGGCATTTCTGGACTGGGACCTTGTTGAGTTAAATTTGCATTTCATTTTCATACTGAATTTATCATCAAGATCCTTGAAGGCAAATGAATATCTCCAATTTGGTGGTATTAAACAGTGATATGATCCAGCCTAGTACCTCTATTTTATTATTTATTGATTGATTTTAGAGAGAGGAAGGGAAAGAGACAGAGAGAGAAACATCGATTCGTTCCACTTACTTATGCATTCAACGGTTGATTCTTGTATGTCTCCCGACCAGGGACTGAATCCACAACCTTGGCATATAGGGATGACGCTCTAACCAACTGAGCTACCTGACCAGGGCAGCTCTACTTTAAAGAAATTGTTGGCAAAGATGGGGATGAAGGGGTTGGGGTTAAGGTTTAATTTTCTCATGTGAGTTTCATAAATATGATCAAAATCTCATTTAGTCATCTTAATGCACAGTCATCTTGCCCGTTTTTTTTTATTTGTTTCAGGTGGGATCTGAATCAGTAAGGGTAAATCAGTAAGCCCCAGTCAAGGGAGCAGGGTGTGGGGGGTACTTTTAGTTCTTTGCCTGACCTGGTAGTGAGAGGCCCACGGCTCTGCATTATGAATGCTTATTATGTTGTGAATTTGCCCATCCAGACATAGCAAGGGAGTAGCGTACCTTGTCCTGTTTGTGCCCTATGACAGCCCTGTGAGGGTGACCCAGACCTTCACCTTGGGTCTCATTGCTGGTTGCCAGCTACACCAGGATAATGTTCACATGCTAAAGGGTGCTAAGTAAACCCTCTACCTGGGAGCCTCCTAGGTAGACAGGCCCCCAGATCAGGCCTCTTCAGATAAAGGGAGTGAAGAAGGGGAAATAGAAGGACACAGTTTTAGGCAAGTGAGGAAGCATCGGTGACTCATTCAGAGACCTTGGCCACGTCAGGTTGGGGTGGAAGCGTTAGTGACGTCTCCCGTCGTGCTTTGATCCCTCTCCCTAAAGGGCGACTATGTTGTGAAATATTGCTGTCCTGTAGAAGTCTTAGGCGGGAGTTACTGATGGGGACTGATCCTAATGCATTGTTTTAGACTTCAGCTTGAACAAGGGGAGTGTTTTTTAAGGGTTTATTTGGGGTTAATTCTATCTCTGGAACAGAAACCTCAGGGTGGATTGGAGATTCAGTTGTTCCTGCATCTCCACAGGGGATAATGGAGAAGGTGGTAGTAGAAACTAAGTCTTGAACACATGAGAAATTTGCTCTGGAACAGTGAGGTGAGGAGCCTGTACTGGTGCTGGCAGGCAGGTTTAGGGAGTGAGCAGCCAGCTCTCTCAGACAGAATTCTAAGTGGTGGAACTAGGGTGGATCAAACAAGAGAACTCAGTTTAGGTAAAAACAAATCAGGTATTGGTGGAGAGTGGAATATGCTTGGGGTGGATTTTGTTCCCGTTGTACTTTGTTGACTTACATCTGCCTTCTTGGCAACTCTTACGAATGTTTATATTCTTTGAGTTTATTTATTTCCTATTTGATGTCTGAACTGAGTAACTGGGAGCAGGCCTGGCTGAAGGACTGTGGTGAGAAGAGAGGCTAAGCTGCAGGCCTTACCTTCTGCACAGGCTCTAGCAGTCAGTAGGTAAAGAGAAGGGTCCAGCATCACTGTTAAGGTCTCTCTTCATCAAGGGGTCAAGGACTCAGGCCCTGGCAGTTCTTGGTCCAGATACAGTTCTTTAAGCAGACAGCTCCAGAAAGTTGGCAGCTGTGAGGGCTGAGACTGGAATATCTACTCAACAGAGTCAGGACAGATGTGCTACCACAGCACCATCCTGTCACTTTTCCTTTCTTTTGAGACTCTCCTCTCCTCTTCTCTGTTCCCTACTGAACTTTCCCCCCTCTGTTTATTTTCCAAGCCAGTCAGCAAACTGGCACAGAGGTTGGTGAGAAAACTGGCAACATCAGGAATATGATACTCCTGGTACCCAGCTGCCATGTGTTACCAGCAGTTGTGGTTGATAAGGTCCCAGCTGGAGCATGAAACCAGGCAGACAGTATCTGCTCCCTTCATCTGACCCTGTGTCTCCTCAGAGATTTGTCTTCCTTCCCTGTTCTGGGTCTATTCTACGTTCCTGGGATTTCTGCTTTTGTTTGCATAGTCAGGGCTCTTCTCTGGTTAGTAGTGTCTTTATCTTTGGTCTAACACAGATTTTCCTTCTGCCCCCTCATCCTCTCTGCCCATTCTGTGGCTCACACCTCTGGGGCAGGCTATAGGGCTGAACTCCCAACATTTACTGACTGCACATTGGCAGCAGTTCACTGGGCCCTTATATCTCTTCCTTGTTCCCTTGCTTATACTTTTCATCTCCCTGCCCTCCCCTCAGATGGAGTCAGAGGATAACTGGATTTTCCTTTGGGTATGAAAAGTTTGTGGCATGTGGTAGGATTTCCTAAATGTTAGTATTTTTATTATATTGATTGGTTTGACTTAAGGACACTAGGGACAAGAGGAAGTGATAGTAGCTAATCTCTTAGGTATCCCTAGACACACCAAGGCCAGGGAGCAGCTTGAGGAGCACTTCTCTTTTGACTACTTAGGATGAAAGAGTTTAGAAATATAGTGGTCTCAAAACCACAATAAACTCTTCTTTCCATCCCCAGCAGCCTCTTTTAGTTATTTGTAATAGCAGGATAGGGGTGGTTAAGAGCATGGAATCTAGAATTAGACTGTCTGGATTCAAATCCTGGTTCTTCCTCTTATCTCTTGAGTGACATGCGTCGAATTATTTTAACCTCTCTATGCCTGTTTCCTCATCTGTAAACAAATAAGTAGAACCTATTTCAAAGGGTTGTTATGTAATTCAAATGCGATAATATATATAATACAAAGTTTGTACATAATGCCAATGCATTATAATTGCTATTATGGTTGATGCCACCCTTCTGCCAGCCTTCCAAGGTCATGGAATGCTGCCTACCTGATTTTACCCTTTGGTGCGCAGACCCTGACAGCATAGAACCCAGCAGGCTGAGGAGGTCGATAATGAGGTCCCCTGAGGTATTCCTCCAGGAGTCTGGTCTCTAGAGAGACTGCGTGAGAAAAGGTCTGGGGGAAAGGGAAGCAAGAGTTCTCAGAGGAAATTGGAATGCCTCCCCCTGGGTGGGGTATGCATAAGGACCCCCCCTTTTTCAATACTTGGCAGAAGCAAAGGGCAGCGCAGAGAAAAGAAGAAAGACATTTAGTTAAGGAAATTCAGTTTGGTTCTGCCCTTTCTTTCTGGGGCCCAGGTCCCTGGCCCCTCTTGCTTTAATACTCCTAGCCCTTTGCTTCATATCACTGGGCCAATACAGGTTTGTGATCCTTTCTGGTCTGTTCAACCAAACCCATTCTGTGGTGACCTTTTACTGGCAGATGAGAAGCAGATGGCCTCCACCTGTTTTTGCTCAGCTTGTGGCATCAAACAGTGTGACATTTCCTAAGAAGGGAGGTGGGGGGACAGGGAGCCTTTCTTAGCAGGCTTTTCTACATTATTAGAGAATAGCTCAGTCTGTGTTGTCCCCCTTCCCCCATGTGATAGAGCAAGGGATAGGTTCGCATCCAGAGTGGAAGTTCTTTCTTTGCTACTCGTATTCGTGTTGTTTAAGTTGAACTGGCCAGGGGTCCCCCTGTGGGTGGGGTCAGGAGCAGATCCTCAGCTTGCTAACTGCTCACAAACCTCTCTTCTCAGTGTTACCGGGACTTGGCTCTGGTGAGTCGTGATGGCATGAATATTGTCTTGAATAAAATCAACCAGATACTTATGGAGAAGTACTTGAAGTTGCAAGACACCTGCCGTACTCAGGTAAGCCAGGAAGAAAAGAGAGATCTAGCTCAAAGACATAACAGAGGAGGAATTGGGGGTAACATACCCCCACCTTTGCACATCTAAGTTGTAATGTTATTGGATTATCCCATTTCTCAAATTCATAGGCCCTTCTCTTCATCTGTTTTCTCCTCTCTCCTTTAGTTGGTGTGGTTGGTACGGGAACTAGTGAAGAGTGGGGTTCTGGGAGCTGATGGTGTATGCATGACATTCATGAAGCAGATTGCTGGTGAGTTTGATGGCAAGAGGATAAAGAAGAAAGGAGAGGAGCCCAGAGACTAAATCCAGGCAATGGAGAATGATTGAGTGCCCGAGGGACTCGATTCCTGGGTCATTTAGACTCTCCTGATTTAGGCATCTTCTGGCCACATACATTGAAGAAGACATTGAAAAATCACGGGGAGCCTTTTGAAGCAATAAGTCTTGCCTCATTTTTCTTCCTGCCAAACTCAGGGCCTGACATAGAATAGTTGGCCTGTTTTTAGCCAGTCAAGCCTATAGTCAATAAACATGATAAGTTGCTCAATCTCATCAATAATCAGTGAAATGCATACTGGGGTTTCATGGTGTATTGGAAAGATCTGGAAGGAATGGGGAGAGAAGTGAGGGCCAATAATTTGTTCCCATCATATTATGCTTTCAGAAACACAGACATCTTCCTTGGCTCCACCCCCATGTTCTGAGTACTTGCTCCCTAATAATTATGATATCTGATTAGGGCCAGTTTGAGGGATGAACTGTGTCACAGAACAGACCCTGACATTTAGGTTTTATTATCTTCTTGGCATTGGTGACATCTGTAAGCCACTGAATATCCAAGAGGCCTGCCTGTGCTACCTCTTCTCCCAAGATGGCATGTGTTTGTTTAAAAATGACCCTGCCACTCTTTCACCACTCCCCATTGGTTCTTTTGTTTCTTCTTTAGGATTTTATATAACACTCATGCTCCTGTTCTGATGTATGTAAACCTTAATTTATGTGACGTTTGACTATGTGAACATTGAATTAAGTTAGGACCTGGGGCAAGACATAGTGTTGTGCTGGATATTTTTATCCACTCTCCCTGCATTTTCTTCCCCATTTGGCACTCCCAGTCCCTACTTCTCATCCTTAGACTTTGGTCTGGCATTACTGCATGTTAATTCTACCCCAAGATGTTCCTTAGCAAGCCCTGAAGACTGTGATACCTGGAAACAATAAACCCTCAGCCTGTCATGAGCCTGACACAGGATTTGGGACATACAGATTCTGGACTGCCACTGTTACCAGCCACCCGCACCTCTCAGACCCTATCTGAGATGTCATCCTTTCCAACCATGGGCTTTTCATGTCTCCTTCCCAGACATTCCCTTTCAAGAGCCAAAGTATTCCCACTCCAAACCCCAGTCTATGGAAAAGTTGCAGCTCTAGTTTCTGGAAAAATCCAGAACCTTCCCTCCCCTTCTCTCTGGAGGCAAAGGGGGGAACATTAAAACTTGACAGAACAAAAGGCAATTTTCCAGTTCTCAGAACATCAGTGATGGTATAACAGTTAGGGATGGACCGGTGGGATGGGTGAAGAAATGTACTGTATATCCGAGTAGCTAATTAAAGCCATTCTGATTCTCTGTTTTTCTCCCCGTTTGTTTAGGTGGGGATGTTACGGCAAAAAATATCTGGTTGGCAGAAAGTGTCCTGGATATCCTGACAGAGCAGAGGTAGAGACTACCATGAAGAGTGGGGAGAGAGCCAAAGATGGCCTTGTTGGTGCTAATGTGGGAAATGGGGGCGAAAGGATTATACGAAGACTGTTAGGTGGCCCCAAACACCTAAGATTAGAGAGACTAAGGCAGGGAAGGGAGAGGCAATTATATTGGTGGCAAGTAAAGGAATTAATACCACGATATGGTCAAAGGGATGAAGGAGTGGGAAAGAAGGTCTTTGCTGAAATATCTCAGAGCCCAGGAAAAACTAGTTTCATCTGATAAGGGTTTATTTTTGACCCAGACCTCCTTGGAATGTTTATCTTTGTGGGGAGCGGGGGAGAATGAGCTCAGCAAAATCAGGCCAGCCAAGTACCCAGGCCTGGCAGGTACCCCTTTTCTCCCTTTCAAAACTTTCCATCCATTCTATACTCTTTTGTTGAAGTAGCACGAGTGAGGAGGTAATCGAGACCCTCTAGAGTTTGCGTGTAGGGCTTGGCAGCTCCGGTGATAGAGAGGGCATAAGGGGCGCATATTGGGTTTTCTTGCTTATTCTTTCCCTTCCCCTCAAAGTAAAGGACCAGAAATTTTATGAGGCTGTTCCTCAGCTGAACTTTTTTGGGGGTGAGGCCTTCCTCTTAGTCCTGTGGCCTTGGTCTTCCTATTGATTGATTTCAGAGTCTGTTTCTAGGTGAGGGCACCATAGTAGTCAAATAATTGAGAGGGCTAGTAGTATCCATATTTCCTACCTTTAGAATAATAAGCCTCCTCCCTTATTCATAGTTCTGGAAGAGAAGGCTGTATTCTGTGCTCTGCCCAAGCTGAGAGCTGTGCCAGGTCTGCTGTGCAGTGCCACCTAGTGCCCTGGGCATGGAGGTGCACCAGCAGCTGCGGCTGGAGTCACTTCCTCCATCATCATTGGTACCATAGCAAAGCACATGAGATCCTAGTGATTTCTTATCAGGCCTCTGCTTCTCTTAGGTGTCTGTGCAGAGTGTCTGTGTCCTTGTCAGAGGGACTCCCTTTTCTCTTTGTCTTCGTTACTCCATCCCAGCATTCAGATACATTCATCATGTCTGTTAGCAGTCTCCCTAAAAAGTGATTTTTTTCATTTTGTTCCTGATGCCAGATACCTCCTGTTCCCATACCTTAAAGCTGAATCTCCCTCATTTGGGCAGTTAGAGTGCAGTCTCAGTATACAAGTGTTAGATAACTCTCCTACCTTTTTTGTCCTCTAGAACACTCACATCCTCTGGTGCAAGTCCCTAGAAGTTTAACACTATCCTCTTCCACACCGTTCCTCTCCCTCCCTCCCAAGTGTTTCTAGGGCTGTGGAATTAAAAGGTAGCAGACAGGGAGGGGGACCCTCCCCGGTGTCCTTGGCTGCTGCTTTCATTCTGTGCGAGGAAAAGGCCAGAGTCTCTTAATTAGGTGGCTGGAGCACTTTTCCGGAATCAGGATGTTGCCTGGTTGGATTAATTAAACTCCCTGTCTTCCTCTGGTTCCCTCCTTCCAGCAGGGGTGCCAAAGCTGTTACAAACTAGTTGCTTGGGGAAAACAGCTCCCCAATTTTGCACTCTGAGACAGCATTGGAGTTTTTAGAATTTCCCCATTGCGCCTTTCTACCCTTTTTAAAGCAGTAGGGAACACAATTCTTTCATTACCCCCTTTTCTCCAGAGAAATTCTAAAACTCCTAGGAAAATGGGCTTTGCCATCCAAAATCAAGTTCTTTTCAGATTGTGATTTAGGGCAGGTGAGACTCATCATTTGGAAATGGACTCAGTGGCAAGAGAGAGAGAGAGAGAGCCAGGGAAGGGTTTGTGGCATGGCGGGCTGCTAATGGAGGATGATAGAAGGGCTCAGACGGTGTTTTGAAACCTCCAGGGTGCTTGGACTGCATTTGAAGAACTGCTAATTTAGGGACACTTACAAATTATTTTCCTCATATCTGAATTAGGTAGAAGCTATGGCTTATTTCTGTCCCTAGTACCTCACACGTGTTTGGCGCATGAGAGGTACTCAGTAAATGTTTGAAGGAGTGAGTCAACAAACAAAATTATTTTATTGGGAGCTAGGTAGTTATATAGTAAAGAGAAATTGCTTTCATCAGTGTTTATCTTTATTGGACACCTGGTAGAGTAGTAGGAAGTTGTCCCCACCTTTGCCAATTGATAGTCCTAGATAATGACAGCATGAGCGCAAAGAACCTAAGAACCTACTTCCAGTGCTAATCATCAAACATATCTAAGGTCCTGGAGCCAAGTATGGGGTGAATTGGGAGGGTGGACAGGTGCAGACAGCGTGCAGATGCCATTGTCTTCCCTCCCTGCAGGGAGTGGGTATTGAAGAGCAGCATCCTCATTGCCATGGCCGTTTACACATACCTCCGCCTGATTGTCGACCACCACGGGACCGCCCAGCTTCAGGCCCTGCGGCAGAAGGAGGTGGACTTCTGCATCTCACTGCTTCGGGAACGGGTGAGGACACTACAGTATAGGGAAGTGAACCCAGGACAGGACTCATCGTTCTAAGACAGATGAGGATAAGAGGGTAGGGGTTAGTGTGGGGTGGCCCTAGATCATAGAAATGCTGCCTGTTACTCTGGCATCCTAGGGGTTTTCCTGGTTAGCTTTGTGGACACTTGCATACCACAGACACAATCTATTCTTGTATGCTTACTGTTACCCCCACACCTACCTAGCTGGGTAATTGCCTGGTCAGATGGGATTGTGAATTGTCCACTATCAGATCTCCCAAGAGTGACTGATTCTAGGGCTATGCTCTCGAATGTAGTAGCTTCTAGCCACGTGTGGCAATTTAAATTTAAATTAGATAAAATTTTAAAATTCAGTTTCTTAGTTGAATTAGCCACGTTTTTCAAGTGCTCATTAGCCACATGTGGCTAAAGGGTATCCTTTTGGACAGCACAGATATAGGTCATTTCCATTACCACAGAATGTTCTGTGGGACTGAGTGAGTTTTGGGGTAAAGTGTATGGGACTCAGTTTGCCAATCCTATCATTTTAGAATCTTAGTCTCTCTTGACCCGGATTGAAACAATTCTGGGAGAAGGTGAGAGAGTAATGTGAAAGCCAAAAGGGCTTCAGCAGTTTGCAGTAACCTCTCATCCTTGATATCAGTCCCCAACTTCCAACTGTCTTCCCTTGAACAGCTAGGAGCCGGTCGTGTGGTTCCTGAAGAAATCATATAATCCCTTCAGCCCTTTCCTTCCCTCCCTAGAACACGTTGTTCCTTTGTCCTCCTTGCAGCAGGTAAACAGTCCATGTTTTTATTCTCTTTCGTGTCTGTAACCCCTCACCCCCATCAAGTTCATGGAATGTTTGATGATTGGCCGGGACCTTGTAAGACTACTTCAGAATGTTGCCAGGATACCAGAATTTGAACTGCTTTGGAAAGATATTATTCATAACCCTCAGGCCTTGAGTCCTCAGTTCACAGGTAAGTAAGGGCTGGGGCGTGCTATGTTTGATAGGTGGGAGGTCTGTATATGTGTACTGCTTGAATCAAGACGGCAGAGTTTAGTGTGTAGGAGAGGCTGTGGCAGTTAGATATAGGAAGCTTGGGACCAAGCAGGCTCTGCCAAGTACAGCTGGATAAGGGAATGGCAGAGCTACAGAACAATCCATGTGGTTCCCAGACAGCCCCTATTCGGCAGGCTCCAGCTGTCGTTACTCCTAAGAAAAAGTGAGACAGAGAACTGGGACGCTTCTCCTCCCCCTCTCCCAGCAGCTGTTTGGCTCAGGAGGTGAGCTGATGACCGGTTTCCAGCTTCACTGAGTCCATCAGGAGAGTCAGAGGTCAGCTCGTGAGACTGAGTCAGCAGAGGCCCTGGAATGAGTCCTGTAAGAGAGGGCTCCTCCCAGGAGTGATCTTGTCTCTGAATTCCAAGGGTCCAGCTTGGTCAAAATCCTCTTTGGGGAAGGGAAAGAGGCTCTATGTGCCTCCTCTTACAAGGTCCTTTTCATGTCCCTTTCTCCTTCCCAGGTTCCAACTTATGGGCTGAACTATAACTGTACAGCTTTACTCCCCACCCCACTTTGAACATGCATGCATGTGTGCATGTATGTGTGTGTACACCCACAACATGAAAGCAATAGGTTAGGACCTGGAAAGTCAGGAAAGAAGAGAGGAAAATCCTGGTTCTACCTTATATTGTACAGCTCTTATATTGAACATGTACTGAGTTGTTTTGAGTGCTTACTGTGTGCTGGGCACATGTATATAGAGTATCCCAAAAAATGTATACACACTTTGAATGATTATAGTCAGTGTTTATTAATATATAGTTCAGTTTTAAAATTTAAAAGAATCTACAGAAATGAATAATTTTTTTGTCAATGCCTATTTTTCAAACTAATGATCGTTCTGGTCTAGGCATTTCTGATAATGCGAAGCAATTAGAATCGCAAACATCAAGAATCATTTTATTCGGTATTTGTATGACTTTAATTCCTTGACACTTGCTGTTTTTTTACTGTAAATTTTATCTTTTATGTATCCCCATAAAAAAAGTCTAGTGGCACTTTAGGATAAATTTTCTTTGTTCAAAGCTTAGTCTGGCTTCACCCATTATTTCAAATCAGTTAAACCCAAAAAGGAGTGAAAATAAAGTGAGTTATCAGCTGTTAAGCTGTGTATACATTTTTTTGGGGACACCCTATATTAGCTCATTTCATCTTCAAGACATCCCTGTATGTCTTGAAGATGGATATTTTAGTTTCCATATTTACAGGTAAAGAACATTACGTTCAAGGAGATTAAGTGTCAGAAGCAGAGTTTGGCTTCAGGTCTGTCTCGCTCCAGGGCTCATGCTTATGCCACACCTCCACATTGATCCCAGGACCCAGTGATGAGACAATCAGGAGCAGGAAGAGAGGCTAGGGTTTCCCATATTTTCCTCCCTAACTTTCCCCCGTGTTTCCAACTGGAATAATGTTAGTAGAGGGCTCTGGATGACCAGTAGAAGAGATTATACCTGGGTCCTGAGGCTGGTGGTTCATTGGAGCAGAACATACAGATGCTGGTTAGAACCCCCACTTGTACCTATGCTTTTGACTTCTCTTGGTCTTAGAATTTCCCCATGAGCAAGACCACTGCCCCAGGTTCCCCACCTGCCTTCTTTCTAGTCCTCAAGTTTCTCTCTTTTCTCTTCCCTTCTACACTTGGTTCAGGTATCCTGCAGCTTCTTCAGTCAAGGACATCCAGAAAATTCCTAGCGTGTCGTCTAACCCCAGACATGGAGACTAAACTCCTCTTCATGACCTCCCGGGTAAGCTCACCTATTGCAGCAGAAGAAGCTGCAGGCACTAGCTGGGCTTCCTCCTTCAGCCTAATAGTCTGTCACCATTGAGTACTGACTGGTGGTATGCTGGTCACGTGGGTGCCCCTGTTCTGCCTGGCATTGGGCATGGTACTAAGAACTGGGATACATTGCTGAATGAGAGAGAGACAATTCCAGCTCTTGTGAAGCTTCCAGTCTATCTAAAACAGTCATTAAACTAATAATTGACAATTAATGTAATTGACAGGTGTGAAATGTGCTTTAAAAGGGTAGAGTGAGGATGTTCATTCAGGAAAACCCACTGTTCCTCTAGGTGAACCATGAACTCTCAGAAAAAGAGCTCTGGTCTTTTCGTTTCCAAACATGGCTGACTTATGGCAGAATTGTTTGAGGAGCATCTGAAAAATACATCTTCCTGGATCCCGTTCTCCCAGAGAATCTGAAGAATCTGTCTTTCTAACAGAATTTCCAGGCAACAGCTCCTCTGCAGCCAGTCTGACCTTAGGGAACAACTGCTGTAGCCAACTTTCAGTTTCCCAAGGCATCCAGGAGAACTGTCTTGATCTGTGCTATCTCGTGTGGTAGCCAGTAGCCATGTGTTCTAATTTAAAGTTAAAACTAAGTAAAATTAAAAATTCAGTACCTCAGTTGCACTAGCTACATTTTAAGCATTCAGTAGCCACTGTCATTGCAGAAAGTTCTTTTGGACATTGTTGGTCTAGATATTTTTTGGTGTTTTTTGTTGTTGTTTGTTTGTTTGTTTAATCCTTCTGCTCTCAGTTTTGGTTGAATTTGGGGAATAGAAGAGGAAAGCCAGGTCTTTCTTCTTAATTAGTGTTGTTATTTGTAATCACATAGTCTGTTTAGGGGAAGGACTTAACTGTAAGAAGGTTTGGAAGTTGCATGTACCTTGTATAATGATCATGTTAAGTCATTTAGTAACAGAAAGCTTTCAGGCAGTGCTGAGCAGTAAACAGGCTCAGCTTTTGTTCTCAAAGAACATTGCTTGCTGTTCACAAGTAGCTCAAGAAAATAAGAGATTATGCTTATGACTGGAGAATCAGGAACCAGTATAGGAGTAAGGAGCCAAAAGTGGACTGCAGTTGCAGGTAATGTGACATCAGGTCAGTGGCAAGAATTAATGCACCACTGGCATGTGACTTTCAGCATTTTATTTAAACTCAAGGAGGGAAGACTTGAGAGACAGTACTAGTTACTGAATAAATTGTGGGAAGAAATTGAGGTCTGACTCAAGCCTAGAGTTGAATGGTGCTCATTTTCCTCTACCCAGAGACCTCACCTTCCCTTCCAAGTTTCTTTTCTAACATCCTTCCCCCAGGTTCGGTTTGGTCAACAAAAGCGATACCAGGATTGGTTCCAGCGTCAGTACCTGTCAACTCCAGACAGTCAGTCTCTGCGCTGTGACCTCATTCGCTACATCTGTGGGGTTGTCCACCCTTCTAATGAAGTGCTGAGTTCAGATATCTTGCCCCGATGGGCCATCATTGGTTGGCTGCTGACAACATGCACGGTGAGAGGCTGGACCATGGAGGCTGAGGTTCCCTTTTGCCTCGAGTTCCCCATATTTCCATCTTCCTGATTCTCCCAGTCCCCGACCTCTGACTCTTTCACTATCTGCCTCTTGAATGTCTCAGCCCTTACCTGCCCTCCCTTCAAGTCTCTAGAAATTTACTTGCACTCATTATTTCCCATCTGGGCTTGGGTTGGACAGGTTTATCTATGCCTTTACTGCCAGACCCCAAGCCTGGGTTTCTAGGCATCCCTTCTTCCAGAGTTTGTGCTCCTCAGACCCTCACTTCCATGCCTTTGGCATCAGCTTTGGATACTTCTCTAAAAGTAGTGAATTTACGATGGAACCACCTCCTTCCCAGCATTTCCCTCCTATGCTCAGGGTGGGAAACTCTATGTTCCCTCCCATTTAGTTGCCTTCTGACCTCTTTTGACAGGATTCCCGCTCCCCCATCTGACTGGTTCCTTGGAATGTGCTGATTCAGATATAATAGCAAGCTATTCCTAGGGGTCTTTCCTTTAGGAATGTGCCTGGAGAGTCCAGCAAGGGCTCAGACTAGTGCTGTCTCAGCTCAGGAGTGACCAGGGACTCCCAGGCCCAGGTGTCTTCCCTTATGGGAACAGGGTGTGTTCTACTGGATGTGTGAGACCCCAGGCCGAGCCTCAGCCCCTGGGTTGGTGAGACCACAAGAGACTCATACGTATACAGACTTGGGTGTCCCTCGCCTCTGTGGGGGTTCCACTCTGTCTCACTAGGATATGAATTTTGTAGATGGAGCAATATTTTGGGCTCTGGGATCTGTCTTGGGCTTCTAAAGGAAAGGGAGCTGGTTGATGAAACTAGCCCTCTTTTTCCCCCTCTCTCTCCTAGTCAAATGTCGCTGCCTCTAATGCCAAGCTGGCTTTGTTTTACGACTGGCTGTTCTTTAGCCCAGACAAGGATAGCATTATGAACATAGGTATGTGAATGAGACCAGGCAGTGCCGCTCTCCACCCCCCCTCCCCCAACCCCCGGGTCTCAGAGATAGCAGTCATAAATCACACAGCAGTGTGGTGTGGAGGCAGCTTATCTGGGAGCAGTTCCGTTGTTCCTCGTCAGTGCTCCCTTGACCTAGAAGGAAAGTTGCTTTGATGAGGCCAAGCAGTACTCCACCCTCTTTTCCCTGCAGCCTGATGCTTAGATTTCAGGGTGGGGGTGGAGGGATCTCTGCAGAGGAAATGGCTGTACCACATCCCACTTCTCCTCTCCTGTTATCTCCCTCCTCCTGAGTACTGGGGACAAGGAGGGAGATGCCTACCGGCTGTTTGGGGGGTTGTCTGCTTTTGGATCTGCTCAGTGGGAATAGGGGGCAGGGATAGACACAGCTCTCTGGAACCATTCATATATATTGATCATTTGGTTTATGGAGCTAGGAACAGACTCTCTAATATAGGGGTCTCTTTAATTCCACATTCTCCAGAGCCAGCCATTCTGGTCATGCATCACTCCATGAAGCCCCACCCAGCCATCACTGCCACACTCCTGGACTTCATGTGCCGTGTAAGTGCCACCACCCTCTTTTCTCCTCTTGCCTGGCTGAGCAGTTAAGTGTGAGTTCCCTGTAATCTTCTCTGTCAGTGAATAGGTCTTCCCAGTGCCCCTTGATTGGGAGCAGAAGTGGTCGTAGGTCTCATCCTCCAAGTTAGTAAATATTTCTTTTATCCCCATCGTCGACTCCAGTTGGGTCTTTCCATGTCTCCGTGAGGTTTCTCAACCTTAGGGATGGTGACTTAACATAGACTCTAGTCTCCCTGAGGAGCAGCCAGGTCCAGTAAGTTTCCCATTTTAGCACCTGGAATAGTCAGGAACATTCTAGCCCTTTCTGGGACCATACTCTCTCTTGGTCCTTGACCAAAACCAAAGCAGCTTGTGCTCTCTTCAGTAGCACATAAGGCTAAAATTGGAACGATGCAGAGATTAACATGGCCCCTATGCAAGGATGACAGGCAAATTCGTGAAATGTTTCATACAAGTATTTTTTTAAAGCAGCTTTTTAGATCCCATGCTCATTCTCTCCCCCGCTTCTTCCCTTCCAGATCATTCCCAACTTCTATCCACCACTGGAGGGCCATGTACGGCAGGGTGTCTTTTCCTCCCTCAACCACATTGTGGAGAAACGGGTGTTGGCGTAAGGACTTTCTATGTCTGTGGGGAGAGGGAAGGGTTTTCCCATTTCTCACTAGGTCAGGCACATCCAGATACTGCCATACAACTGTTGACCCTTTACTTTGAGAGGTATAAAAAGTACTGGCTCCACCTCAGAAGTCTAGGCATATGTTCTTTTGACTCAGAGGAATGTTTCTCCTGCCATCATAGTATAAAGGGCTTCAAATGCCTTCCTTGTCCCCTGGTGACCCTTTCTAAGGATCTGACTAGATAGCCCAGTCATACTGATTGGGCTTTGACCTACCCCTTGACCTCCATGTAGAGTTAGAAGTGAGGAGCTCTGATGTTGATCTTCATTCATGTTTTCTGTTAGGCATTTGGCTCCCCTGTTTGACAACCCTAAATTGGATAAGGAGCTGCGGGCAATGCTGAGGGAGAAGTTTCCTGAGTTCTGCAGTTCACCCAGCCCACCTGTGGAAGGTATGGAACCCTCCAGTTCTGTCCTTTGCTTCAGAAGAGCAACGGAGACATTCAGGGCTTTCAGACTAGAACCCCTGTTTAGGTATACCTGTGCAGCTTTCTACCTCTCTGACACTGTCTATTTGTTTTTCCTTCCCTACTTCTCTTCTTACTCATCTTCATTGTCTTCCTAGGCTCTCCCTCTCCATCTAATATTTTCTAATCTTTTTATTGATCTTTAAAGAAAGAGGAAGGGAGAGAGAGAGAAGCATTGATTTGTTGTTCCACTTAAGTATGCATTCATTGGTTGATTCTTGTGTGTGTTCTGACTGGGAATTGAACCCACAACCTATCAGGACGTTGCTCTAACCGACTAAATTACCCAGTCAGAGCCTTTTCATCTAATTTTATCTGACTTGCGCTAATCTCTCTTCCTCTCTGAACTCCTATTTTTCCTCTTATTAACCTGTCTGTCTGCAGTAGGTAGATAAGTTCATGGAATGTGTTTACCTTACTTTAATCTTATCCATCTTTTCCCAGCCAGGGCCCTGGCCTTGGAGAAAGGTTGTCATGTTGGGTCTCAAATCTTGCTCCCAATTCCAGACACACAAACACTTTTTGTTTGAGGGGAGGGGTTAAGCCAAGCAAAACTTCCCAACTTGGTTTTAAGTTAAAGAGTACTTAGGACTGACCTTGGTCTTGTCTACTCTCTGATCTGAGCTAAGCACAGAGGAGTCATGGCCTGTGCTACTTTATTCCTGGCAGAGTCCCCCTGCAAGTCTCAGAGGGTTGGGAGGGTAAGACCTTTATCCTTCCAGTGTTCATATTCCATTTAGGTCACGAACTCCTTATTCTCTCACTTGCCCTTCAGTCTCCTCTTTTCTAAGTGTGAGGACATAGGAGGTAATCAAATGCCTTATCTTTCTTTCCCAAGTCAAAATTGAGGAGCCAGTTTCCATGGAGATGGACAACCATATGTCAGACAAGGATGAGAGTTGCTATGACAATGCAGAAGCAGCCTTTAGTGATGATGAGGAGGATCTCAACAGCAAAGGTGAGGCTAGAAGCAAGGGTCGTTCAGGGTGTGTCAACTCTGGAGGACCCATTGATAGGTGCAGCCTCTCCCCAGTTTCTCTATCACCTTTGCCTCTGTGAGTTAATTTTGTTAACGGGTACTGGCTGAGACTAGGGTGCGGAGCCCTGCACTTGGCACTGGATCTGGAGGGGAAAAAAGAAGTGGTCCCTGGCCTTGTTTGCTCCTCAGGGCTAGGGCATGCACACATTCGGGGAAATGCTTCAGGCACTCACAGGGCTGAGTGCACGTGTGAGGAGGGACAGGTTGTTTAGAGGGGCTGTCTCTGTTGCTGGTGTCTGGGCAAAGTGGCTTCTTTCCCAAATCACTCCCTTCAGGAAAGAAGAGAGAGTTTCGCTTCCACCCTATCAAGGAGACAGTTGTGGAGGAGCCAGTTGATATCACCCCTTACCTTGACCAGCTGGATGAGTCCCTAAGGGACAAAGTACTCCAACTACAGAAGGGCAGGTAGGTGCACCCCATTTCTCAGCCCCCAGACATCCAGCCCCGGGCTCTGTATCTGGTGACATAGTAGGTGTATGGAGAGGTAGTTGAAGCTGCATGAGAGATGCCTTCTGCAGTTTATATTGGGGGGGGGTGGGTGGACTGAGAGTGAGGCAGTCTCATTCCCCAGCATCCCAGGTTCTCACTCTGTATATTCTCATTCCTTATGTTCTGAGCATATGAGTTTTGAAGCAAGATTGTGGGGATTTTGCTTCTTTAGGGCCTCTGCCTGGAGAGCAGCAAATTCTGCCCCAATCCTCCCCACACAAGCCCGGATTCACACAGAGCTCCTTTGTTTTGTCTCTGTGCGTGAGAGTGAGCTTGCTGTTGTGGGTGTTTGTCCTGCCCTCTGCTATCATTTATGTCCCTATCACTTCTGCACTGCAGTGATACAGAAGCCCAGTGTGAGGTCATGCAGGAAATTGTGGACCAGGTCCTGGAGGTAAGATGGAACCCATCACCTTAGGGAGGAAGCAGCCCAGCCTGCACAGCTTCGAGCCCCCCTGGCAGCTGACTGCCTCCTTCCCCTTGCCCAGTGGGTCCCCTCTTCTGCGGGGAGGGGCTGGTTAATCCTGGATGTGGAAGCTGATAAGTCTGGGTAGTAGGGACAGTAAGGCTTGAGTCTGATGGTGATATCCTATCCCTTGTCTCACCACCCAGGAAGACTTTGACTCAGAGCAGCTGTCTGTCCTTGCATCCTGCCTACAGGAGCTCTTCAAGGCCCACTTCCGAGGGGAGGTGCTTCCCGAGGAGGTCACGGAGGAGTAAGGCTCATCTTTCTGACCCCCTGGGCCTTTAGCAGCCAGAAGTGTGCTCTTATAGCCCAAATCCAAGAGGCACCTTGCTGGGGACTTGACAAAAATAATCTGTTCAACTGATTTTATTTTCGTATGTACTAAGTCATTTAAACAAGGATTTATTTTTCCCTGCTGAAAGCCAAGCATACTGAGGCGTTATGTGCCCTGTGCGCCCTTCCCTTGCTGCTTCAGGTGGGATCGGACCTTCCCTGGATCTTCCCTGAAGGGCAGGAATCTCACTTTCAATGACGATGACAACCCAGATGTAGTCCCATGTTGTGAACCTGTTTTCTCTGTGACCAAGCCTCTGGAGGACATTTACCTTTAGTTAGGAAAGCATCAGGCTGGCATCTTGCCTCAAGCTGGTCCTCCACAACGTCTACTTGTAGTCCACCCTCTCCACTGACATGAACTCTCATATATCACCTTCCTCTTATAGGTCCCTGGAGGAATCTGTGGGGAAGCCTCTATACCTAATATTTAGGTAAGCATCCAGCTGTAGGAGACACTGCTCTGCCCTCCATCCTTCCCATAGCACACATGCTTCTGTCCTGGGGTGATGGGACCCCCTTTCCGGGAAGGAAGGGGTATGCAGTGACCACAAACAGACCAAGCCTCCCCAGAAGCTCCATAGGAGAGTCTGCCCAAGGTAAGCTCTGCTCCCTTCTTCCCATCTTCCACCTCCAGGAACCTATGCCAGATGCAGGAAGACAACAGCAGTTTCTCTCTGCTTCTGGACCTTCTCTCCGAGCTATATCAGAAGCAGCCCAAGATTGGCTACCACTTGCTCTACTACCTAAGGGCCAGGTGGGTATGGTCCCCACATTTAAGAAGGGGTCAGGCCCTAGCTGGTTTGGTTCAGTGGTTAGAGCATCGGCCAGTGGACTAAAGGGTCCTGCTTTCGATTCTGGTCAAGGGCACATACCTCGATTGCAGGCTTGGTCCCCATACGGGCACATGCAGGAGTAACCAATCGATGTGTCTCTCTCACATGGATGTTTCTCTCTCTCTCCCTCTTCCTTCCACTCTGAAAAGCAATGGGAAAAATATCCTCCTGTGAGGATTTAAAAAAAAAAGAAGGGGTCAGGAAGCATCCTAGAGAGCCTCTCTCCTGCCATAGGCTGATTCCCCCACCCTTGTCTGTTATCACCAGGGCCTTCCATGTGTTCTCTTTTATTAAATAACAACTTTTTTAAAAAAGTATATAGCTTTATTGATTTTAGAGAGAGAAAAGAAGAGAGAGAAAAAACACCAATGATGAGAGAGTCATTGATGGGCTGCCTCCCACACACCCCCGACTGGGGATCAAGCCTGCAATCTGGGCATGTGCCCTGACTAGTAATCAAATCGCGATCTCCTGGATCCTACGTCAATGCTCAACCACTGAACCACACCAGCTGGGCTAAATAACAACTTTAAAGTACAATTCAGTGGGTTTTAGCATATTCACAAAGTTGTACCACTATTACTATCTAATAGCATTTTTATCCCCCTAAAAAGAAGCCTGTACCCTTTGGCAGTTGCTTTCCCATTCTCCCTTTTCCCAGCCCTAGTAACCACTGATTGCTTTCTGTCTGTAGATTTACTTATTCTGGATATTTCGTATAAATGGAATTATACAATGTGTGATTTTTTTGTGCCTGGCTTTTTTTCACTTAACATTACTGTTTCTATGGTTTATCCCCGCTGCAGCACGTAACGTACTTTATTCCTTTTTTATGGCTGAGTAATACTCCACATTTTGTATTAGCCATTCACTCAGTGGTGGACGTTGCAGTTGTTTCCACTTCTTTGTCTGTTGTGAATAGAGCTGTTGTGAACATTCATGTACAAATTTGTGGGTGGACATACGGCTTTAGTTTTCCTGGGTATGTACCTAGGAATGGAATTGCTGGGTTAAATAGTAATGCTAGTTTTAAATTTGTGAGGAGCTGCCAAACTATTTTCCAAAGTGACTGCAACCATTTTACATTTCCGTCAGCAATGTGTGTGAGTTCTATGTTTTCCACATGCTTCCCCAACACTTCTTATTGTTTGGCTTTTTGATCCTAATGAGTGTGAAGTGGTATTTCATTATGGTTTTAATTTGTTTCCCTGATGACTAATGATGTTGAGCATATTTTCATGTGCTCATTGGGCATTTGCATCTTTTCTTTTTTTTTAATTAATTATTTTTGCATTTACATATTTTCTTTGGAGAAATATCTGTTCAAATTTGTTCCTATTTTTTAATTAGGTTATTTGTCCTCTTTATTGTTGATTTTTAACAGTTCTTTACATATTCTGAATACAAGTTCCTTATCAAATATATGGTTTGCATGTATTTTCTCCCATTCTGTGGGTTATCTTTTCACTTTCTTTATGGCATCCTTTGAAACACAAAAGTTTTAAATTTTGAAGAGTCCAGTTTATTTTTTCTTTTGTCACTTGTGCTTTTGGTGTCATGAAGATTTATGCTTATCTATTCTTCTAAGAAGTATATAGTTTTAGCTTTTACATTTAGGCCTATAATCCGTTTTGAGTTAAGTTTTGTATGTGTTGTGAGGTAGGGGTCTCCATGTGTTATTGTCCTCATTGCTCAGAGTCCAGAAAGCAGGAAAGAAAGGTTTCTGTAGCCTGACCAGAGCCCTCTTTCTTCTGTTCTTGACTCTCATCACTTAGTAGCTTACTAATTGTAGTCAGAGCCCTGTCTAGAGCACTGGGGAAGGATAGGGAGAAAGAAGAGTGTCTCCTAGTTCCCATAAACTATCAAGCTCTTGGGGAGGCAGGGGAGAGCCATGAAATAGACTAGCCCCAGGCATCTGAGATAGCAAAAGGATTCTAATGGGAACCTACTTGTGGGATGTTTGAGGTTGGGCGCTGGCTTAGGCTCAACTGGTCTTGCAGCAAAGCCGCCGCAGGGAAGATGAACTTGTACGAGTCATTTGCCCAGGCCACCCAGCTGGGTGATCTGCACACCTGCTTAATGATGGACATGAAGGCCTGCCAGGAGGACGACGTGCGACTGCTGTGCCACCTCACACCCTCCATCTACACAGAGGTCAGTGCTTGCCCCTATCCATGGGGATGGGGTAGCAGTGTGCCCCATCTCATTGCACACAATGCTGACCCTCCTTTACCCACCCCACTGGCCTTGATGAGCCATTTCTTCCCATACCACAGCTGTCCCCACCTTCAACCTCTTTATTAAAGATTTTAAAATGTCTAGAAGCTCCCAAGTTTCTAACCTGTGCTTTGTTGTGTGAGTTGGGATCTGGGCCTATATATTTGGCTTTGTAGCTTTGGCCCCATCCTCTGGACCCAGGGTGGGTCCCCCATCCAGATTCACATTCACAGATCTCAGCCCTCTTGCCAGCTGCTGGATCACTCTTGGATTCTTTCTAATTGTTCCCAAAGACCAGGGCCTCTGGTGGAGACAACTTTCATTCCCCCAGCTCACTCACAGTCTTCTCTAGGAACTGGGACATACAAGGAGGTATCAGCTCTTCCTCCTCTGGTGAAAGTTCACAGGAACTGGGAAATCATGGCACAGGGTGTGCGCATGACAGGAGGAACTGTGATTTCAGCCAAAACTGGAGGGAGGAGGGGTGCAGATGCCCAGCAGATGGTAGTTTTCCTTCTCTGCTCCTTCCCTGGTGAACTAGTTTCTCCAGTAGGGGTCCTGCCCACCCCAAATACTCCCTGAACATCCACCTACTCTCTACACCTTCTCTTCTTTGGCCAAGGGTCAGAATAGATTGGATTTCTTTGCTGCCGGAAATGCAAACACGTGTTCTGTTGCTACACAGAATAAACCATCATGTCCAATCCCTTTTGGCTCTCGCTTTGTCTCTGCTTAGCTCCCATTCCTTTCCTCACACACACACACACAACCACGCACATAACATAATCCAGTTCTCAGTGGTTAGGTTCCCAGCTTCATAGCTGTTGGGTCTTTGTTTAGGGATTTCTGTTAGGACCCTGTGTCTAGTTAATCCAGCCACCCCCTAAGCTGTGGTAAGGCAGGGGAATGGGTTATGAGGTGAAAGCCAAGGAGTGTGTCCTGGAATCCTGCCCTAGTTTCCCTTTTTTTCTCTCCAGTTTCCAGATGAGACCTTGCGGAGCGGGGAGCTGCTGAACATGATTGTGGCTGTTATTGACTCTGCACAGGTGAACATCGAGTTGTCATCCCGAGAGGTGTGGGAGGCAGGACTGTAAATCGGGGCTTCTGCTTCTTACCAGGCCTGCAGACAGAGAATCCGAGCTGCTTTTGGCTGCCGCTGTGTGCACTTTACCCCATGGGGCTAGGAGGAAAGCAGAGCCCCAGAGAGGCAGGGTGGGCTGGCAGTCCCCCAGGGCGGTTCCCCTTCTCTATATTCTTTGGGCACTTCTGTTCCACAAGGAAAGTGAGGGGATTGTTTTTTCTTTCAACCAGCCTCCCCCTTGACCCAGGATGAACATTGTCACACCATTTCTGTTTGACCTTTCCACCATGCATACTCCCCAAGAAGCTATAGCTTTGCTTATGTCCATTTTCAGGCCTGAACGAGGTCCCATTTCTGTTCTTCCTCTCCACTCGGTTGTCCCATCCATAGAGGAAGAAGCCTAATACTCAAGAGTCTTTCCTTTGCTTTGGTTTCCCCCACACCTGTAATCCAGAGCTCAGCCTCCCATGGCCCTTCCCTCCTTCGGTACAGGCTGGGATGCGCCAGAGGCCCTGACTATGGCCAGGTTAGAGAAATTGCCCATTTTCTTGCCTCAAGGTGTGAAAGGTGGTTTTACTTAACTATTTTTGCCCCAAATAGGCCTGTGGTTACCACTCAGGCCTATTGCTTCTTTCCCAGACTCCTTTATCCTTCAGAGTCACTAGCATCCATCATATGCCATTTCCTCTCTGTCCTTTTAAAAACTAGGCTTTCACTTCCTCTGATTTTCCCCCATATGAGCCCTCCTTGTTCTCCTTCCATACTAGCTTCCCGGCCTCTTTTAGAATCGATGGGTTATGCCTTCTTCCTTCTCCTCTTCCTCCTTAGCTCCAGGAGCTGGTCTGCCATGTGATGATGGGGAACCTGGTCATGTTTCGAAAAGACTCAGTCCTCAACATACTCAGTAAGTAAGCAGACCCTTTAGGAACCCTGGGAGAAGAGGGAGTGGCAGCCCTGTGTATAATAGAAACAGGAGAGCTGGTTCTGGGGCTGAGAATGGGATAGAATGGCACTCCACCCTGATGTGTGGTCTTGGGTCAAATCTCTCTGAATCTCTTTCTTGCTCTGTAAAATGGAAAGATGCCCTCCAGCCTCAGGGCTGTTGGGGCTACAGAAGTTATCTGAAGGCTTTGGAAATATGCTTTTTGTGGAAAGGAAAAGTATCTGTAGGCTTAGGAGTGGGATGCTGGTTGTTAGGGGAAGAGAGGGAGGCAGGGAGAGAAAGAGAAAGAATAAATGTCTCTTCACTGTCTCTCACAGTCCAAAGCCTAGACTGGGAAACCTTTGAGCAGTACTGTGCCTGGCAGCTCTTCCTGGCCCACAACATACCCCTAGAGACCATCATCCCTATTTTGCAGCACCTCAAATACAAGGGTGAGTAGGGTTGTGGGTAGGGAGCATGGTGATGGGACACTCCTAGTCTGGCTGGGGCAATGCTGAGGCTTCTAGACTTCTAGATGAGCCCAGACCCACTGTTCCCCTTCCCACTGAAGCGCCTTGTGGAAGGGCAGGCTCCCAGTCAGTTATTTCTGCTCTTAGCTGAGTCCTGCAGGCCCATTCTGAGCCAGGTGCTGGGCTGGGGCTCAGGTTTTACAGGAATGGGTAGGGGATTGTTCTTCCTGACTCCTGAAGATTGTTTTTGCTTCTCCCAGTCAGCTGTTGGTTGGGGGATGGGAGAGGTGCCATGATGTCTTCCTGGAACTATGCATTCCTCTGAATGGCCTTTACCCTTTCTCCACAGAGCATCCAGAGGCATTGTCCTGCCTTCTTCTTCAGCTCCGGAGAGAGAAGTGAGTTCTACCCCAGGAGCTGAAGAGTCCCCTGTCCAACCTACCAAGAGATGCTGCTGAATCAAGGGCTTTGGTCCTTCCCCTTTGGCCATGTTTTTTCAAAACTATTGTTGACATGGGCTTATTCTGTCCTTCCCCCAAAGTGATTTACAAATAAGCAGCTCCCCTGAGATCTGGGCTTCCTCTAGACTTTACCCCCCTGCCCACCAGGAGCTGCCCTAAGAGGTGGGGACCGGACATCCCTGTTTCCTGCTGCCACAGTAGTTCTAATCCCGGTGACTTCTGCTCCCCTCCCCCAGGCTCTTGAGGCCACCACTCTGCTAATCTAAGAGGAGGAAGGGTCAGAGCAGAAGAATCACACACCACCTTCCTCCTCAACCTGCTGTGCTCCCTGCTGGGTGGGGTTGGGCGGAGAGGCCCCTCCCTCCATCACAGCACTTTTTGTTGTTAATCCTCACCAGAGGATATTTTTTCCGTTGATTTTTTAGAGAGAGTGGAAGGGGGAAAGAGAGAAACATTGATGTGAGATAGACACATCCATTGGTTGCCTCCCGCACACACTCCATACAGGGCTGGGGATCAAACCTGCAACCCAAGTATGTGCCCTTGACTGGGAATCGAACCCAAGACTCCAGTGCTTGGGCCAAGGCTCTACCAGGCTTTTTTGCAACAGCCCCACATAAATGGTGCAACAGCTGTGCATCTTTTCCTTCCTACCTTCTTGTCTGTCTTTCACCTTTTCTCCTCTCTTGCCTGAGAGACTAGAATGGTACAGAGCATCCTAAAGGAAGTGGGAAGGTTGGAGGGCTATGTGGGGACTGTGACTTCCCAGCCCTCACTCTGTGCCTTCCCTGGGCTGGATACCAGGGTGGCTAACA